CAGCCACTCCTCGGAAGGAAGGTTGGGCATTCCTACTTCCGTAGTGATACTGCCTCGGAAACCCAAGGAGGGGTCGCTATGAGTCGGGGCCGACTTGATGACAAATAACAACTAACAACAAAAACAAGTAGTTAATTAATACCTTTCATGTGCCTGGCACTCCTCAAAGGCTTTATATATGTTGTTGTGTTTCATTATCTTAACAACCTTATGATTAGACAATTTTATCATTAGAGGAGATGGACATCATGTTTGGTCAAGTAGAGGGTCAGAGAAAATGGGGGAAAACCTTCATGAGACAGATTGACACAATAACCACAAAACGGACTCAATCATATCAAAGATCCTGGAGATTATGCAAGACCATGCAACGTTTTGTTCTGTTAAGGTCACCATGTGTGGGAGACAATTTGACAGCAACTGAGAACAACAAAAAGAGATTATATCAGATTTCAGAAAGTCTGATATAGCTGGTAAGTATCAGAAGCATGATGTGATCCTGACCATGAAGAAAGAGTGATGAGAAAGCTGAAGTGGATGAAAGTATGGAGGCTTGGCCTGCCTTGTCACTTTTTTTTTTTTTTAAGTTAAATATTTTATATTTACTTTGAACTTGATAATGGTGTAAGGATAAAAAGGCTTTATATTAGGTTCAAAGAAGTTTGAAAGTCAAGAAATTATTTTGGTTGTTGAAAAATACTTTCAGTGCATACCAAATAATTGAAGGTCACTGTGTAATTTTTGTCTTCAAAGTCTTCCATATTGAGAAGGTAGTGCACCGTCACCCGCTTCTGCTGGTTACATCTCAGGTCCTCCATCTCTGGGACAATCTTTAGGAAGCTCTTAGTCTTGGAGTAAAATCGTTCTACAAAGTGCTTCGACTGAGGGTAATAAGGCAACATCCAGCCATCAACCTTGCAGTTTTCATTGTTCTTATAGGTTGCCTACACAAAGAATTAGATTTATAGGGTTTTAGGATAAAGAGAAAGGAGAAATGAAAGTATATCTGATAAGATGGTATACTGTCATGTTGCTCTATCGCTACGTGAAAATTTCAGGGCACTGTCCATTAAGTTTGACCAAATTCCTATATTTTTCAGTCACACTCTAGAGGGACCACCATATGGTATTTATAATTTACTTTCTGTTAAAATATGGTATGATAATATTACTCTAAAAATATCATTGTTTTTTTCCTGCAGAATTAACTCAACAGCAACTGGACTTTATTTATTTATTAACAGCAAGTAGTTTATTATTATTATTATTTTGGTTTATTGGTATATCTCTCTCACTGGCCTCAGGGCCTCGGGCAGTCAGCTGCCACACCCAAGGCTGGTGGTTCAAACCGACCAGCTGCTCCCCGCGAGGTAGCCGGGCCCTCTCTTGGGAGCTCTGGTAGCATAGTGCCTAAGGCACTTGACTGCTAACCAGAAGGCTGGAGGTTCAAACCCACCAGCCACTCCTTGGAAGGAAGATGGGGCAATCTACTTCCATAGTGATACTACCTTGGAAACTCAAGGAGGGGTTGCTATGAGTCATGTCTGACTCAACGGCACATAACAATGACAACAACAAACTAAAAGGAGGAACTTTTGAATGTAGGAAGGTCCCTGGTTGGTCCATACAGTTTGTTCTCAACCACTAACATAAAGATTGGCAGTTCACATCTATCCAGCAATGGCAGAGAACAAAGGCCTGACTATCTGCTTCTGTAAATATTGCAGCCAAGAAAATCTTATGGCTTATGGAGCAGTTCTACTCTGTGACTCATGAGGTCTCCATGAGTCAGAATCAACTCAACATCAACTGGTTTGTTTGTTTTTTAAATGAATGAAAGAGTAGCTTTTACTACTAAAGATATAATACAGAGTTTTACTGAAAGATGGTAAAGTTTTTATGAAATGTGACAAAGAGTTTTCTAACCACAGGCATTTATCATTACCAACACAAAGGTCTAAGAGGATCCTTTAAAAACGACTGGGAAAGACTGATCTTTCATTAGTACAGGTAGTAAGTTACTTCTCTCTTGAACATATCCAGAAAATTCTTTACATTATTTCATGATAGTAGGTTATAAGATTTCCCAAATGTTTCCCTCAGTGAGAATGTAATTGCCCTTCTATTTCCATGATGAAAGTGAAATGCTGCTTTGTTTTCATTAGATAATTCTTCTTCATATGGGTAAACATGCATGCTAGCTTTCTGTCTTTTTCCCAGATTCACAAAACAATTCTTTTATTTATTTTCATAGGATCTTCTTCCTTAATGCTTAACCATTTTGCAACACTCTTGATTCACATCAAGATTTATATATCCATGTCTATTCCATAAATATCATTTAATATAAACCTAAATCTTAGCCATCCAACACAGTATTTTTGTCTTTACTTGCCTTTGGCTAACTTACTTTCAGAGTGATATTTGGGTCTGTAATCTTAGACGTGTCCAAGGAAAATTGAGCAATGCCATTTGTATCTGTGGTATAGTTGCCCACAATTGTGTCCCGCAGGTGCAACTGGATGATTTCGTTTGGGATGGGAGTGTTGTCTGGATGAAGTAATTTAATCTATAGAAGAGGAAGAAAACAAATTTCTGAAACATTTAGTGAATTTGGAAGTCAATTTTGATGGTGCATGTCAAGGTTCTATCATTTGTACCAGTCCTTTCTTGCTGTGCATTCAAGTCCTGAGTAGTGTCATCTATTCCTTTTGAGTATATGACAAATAATATTCAATATATCCATGACCCTAAACTCTATTTCTTCTGTACATAAAAAATCTTTTGAAACTCAGGCCCATGTATTTCACTGCATCCTGAATACTACCAAATCTACAAAACTGAGTTATTTATTACTCTGTACAAGCTTCTCTCTTATTCATCTCAGAGCCCGACCATTCATTTATTTACCCATATCAATTATCTTGGAACATCCTAGACTTTTTCTTTTCCTTCAGCTACATTTTAAATTGTTGATAAAATATTCTCAATTTTATCTTTTTAATGTTATCTGTTTATAACTGATCATATTGATTGCCTTATGTCAATTTTCATCATTCTTTTCTTTTCCAACACATGGGGATAATCTCCTACCCATTTTTTCTCCTGTATTGTCACTGTCCATTCTTTCTCCACATTGACATCAAACTAAATTTTATAAAATGTAAAACTGACAATTCTCCTTCCTAAAATGTTTTGGTGACTGCTTTAATAAATCATAGTTGGTTCCTAGAAATCTCTTTCTCATTGTCTTACTAGTACATGGAATGATAGCTTTAAAAAGTCCTTCCTCAACTAGAAGCTCTGGTGGTGTAGTGCTTAAGGCATTTGACTGCTAACCAGAAAGCTGGTGGTTCAAACCCACCAGCCACTCTGCAGAAGCAAAGCTGGGAAATCTACTTCTGTAAATATTTACCACCTTGGAAACCCAACGGGGTCTCTACAAATCGGAATCAACTTGTTGGCAGTGAGTTTGTTTGTTTGTTTTGGCAACCTGGTATCTTTACATTACATACAATGCCTGCATCAGTATCTGTCCAGTTTGAAACCTTTAAGAACCCCCTTCTTAACAACACCTAAGGCCATAGTAAAGATAAAAAGCAATTCCAAATTGTGATGGTTAATTTCATGTGTCCACTTGGCTAGTCTATGGTACCTGGTTATTTGGCCAAATAGTAGTCTAGATGCTGTTATGAAATATTTACATGTGATTAAAGCAATTTGGCCTTAAGCAAAAGTAAAGCAGATTATCCTCCATATTGTAACCCTTCAATCATTTGAAGGCCTTGAGAGCAAAAAGGGAAGCTTCTTGAAGGAGTAACAGTCTCCAGACTGCACAGAGACACAGTCTCAGAATTCCTTTCTCTTTCCCACCTCCAACCTACTGATTTTAGATTTTGGAACATAGACTAACAGAACTGCCAGGATGTCACCTGACCTACGTATCATGGATTTTCAAGCACCCACAATTGCGTGAGCCAATTCCTCAAAAATCAATCAAGTAAAGAAGCTCTCTTTCTCTCGCTCTCACTACACACACACACACACACACACACGTATATATAGCTTACTGGTACTGTTTCTCTAAAGTACCCCAAAACAAAGACACCCTCTTTTCTTCAGCTCAGATTATTTCTGCCCAGTAATGTCTGCTTTGCATATGTGATTGTATTTATGGCCCTTATCATTTTCCTACTGAAATGATTCTTTTTTTTAGTTGGTCTTGTCAGATCAAAGCCTCTTTTGTACCATCTACATGGCTGCTAAATTCAGCTTCATCTTAAGTCCTGATCTCAGCAATCCACAAGCTACAGACATATGACACTCTGCCTCTGTGGCCCACACATGAGAATTTTTGTGTAAGGTATTCAAAGCAAGAAGCTAGAGAAAAGAAAGCAGTGAACTCCAAGGAAAATGTATAATAAAATTAAAATAAAAATAAAAATTGGTGCAATAAAAACATTTAAGATAACAAAAAATAAAGATAATTGATAAAACCAAAAGCAGTAAAGAAAAAAAGAGGCAAAATGAACAAAATTAGAAAAAAAGGGAATTAAATTATGATAGATATTTTTTCAAATCATAAGTGAATAACAAATTTATTTATGCTAAATATTTTTAAACCTAAATTTAATGGGAAAATATCTAGATGTATAAATAACCAAATTGACTTAACAGTACACTAAAGCACTCAAATGGCCATCCACAGATAACTGGATAAAAAAAAGGTAGTATATATATATAGACACATATATGTATACACACACACACACACACAATGGAATATGCATATTCATCCATGAAGAAAAAAGTTCTCATACATGCCACCACTGAATAAATCTTGAAAGCATTTTGCTTTGTGAAATAAGTGAGACAAATATAGATAGATAGATAGATAGTATGATTTCACTTATATTAACTATCTAGAGTAGTCAAATCCAGAAAGACAAAGAAGATTAGTGATCACTAGGGGCTAGAAAGAGTATGAAATGGTGAGTTAGACAATGAAACAAATAAAAAAAATAATTCCTAGCTCACTGGCTATACAAAAACCAGTCTCTGCTAAGTTTTGCCAGCAGATTGCAGTTTTCTAACCCCAAATGTAGTCATTAAATGTTCAGTATTTCACTGCCATTGCACCTTAACATCTATAATCATGTGTATGTGAAATTATTGTTATTTATTATTATTTATTGTCTATTTTCTCTGATAGACCATCAATTCTGTGAGGGCAGGAATATTTCCTGTCTAGCTTGCCATACCCAATTTGAGATACCCAATGCTTATGGTGGTTACATAGTTTATTGCCCAAACTTGGACGTTTGAGATTGAAAAGGGGCATTATAAATAATTATACCTTGACAACTGGCATAAATCCAGACAAACATGTGAAGATATACAGTGTAGGTTACCCTACAATGCTTAGCAGAGAGATACTCACACAGTAACTTCTCAGGAAATAGCTATTGGATTGAATAGATTATTGAACAAAGCTGAATGAATGAATGCACATGTAAAGAAATTGTTCCTTCTCTTACCTGGCCAGAATACAGAATTCCTTGTTTGTAGACCTTGTCCATATTCTCAAATTGAATCTTCACCATTGCTGAATCTATTGTTATATACTTGAAGCCTGCAAGCTGCACACCTGAAGACGAATAAGTATTATCAGGAAAATATCACCAAATAGCCAAACATGGTTATAGAAAAAAAAAAAAGCACAAAAGCCACTCATGTTTTCCAAGCTTCCCTTTCCTGTTGTTGTTGTTATGTGTCGTCGAGTCGGAGCCGACTGATAGCCACCGCTCCTTGGTTTTCCAAGGCGGTATCATGACGGAAGTAGATTGCCCAACCTTCCTTCCGAGGAGCGGCTGGTGGGTTTGAACTGCCAGCCCTCTGGTTAGCAGTAAAGTGCCGTAGGCATGCAGTTTTAATACACTGGTGCTTCTTGAGATGTATTTTATAAAAGAAAATGAACAAGGATGGAAAAAAATCCAAAAACATTGTTATTCTCAACTGGAGTTCCTGCTCATCACCTTGATAATTATCTAGCCCAATTACCATTCTTTCTTGAAGGATTAGTCACTTGGTGATTTCTCATTATTCTTAAGTAATTATTTATTGACATTTCTTTGCTCTCTGCCTCATTAAAAGCTATATTTTATTCATAGCAAGAATTGTAATATATATACATTATTCAAAATTGAAAAGTTCGAAGAAGAAAATACAAATGACCAAATATCAGATATCCCAAAGATAACCAAAAGTAATATTTTGGGTAATTTCCTATCATTTTTTTCCCTATATATTTATATTAATATAGTAAGCATTGTGTGTCTGATGAGTATGCTATCAATTGATAAATTTGCATTCTGACTTCTGGTTTAGTTTCATTTGAATTTATTATTTAAATAAATTTTATTGTAAAAATATAAATAAGAAAATTTTCTAATTCAACATTTTCCACATGTACAATTATATTGCATTGTCCATCAAATAAATTTTGGTTGGAGTAAAGAATATTTAGCTTCTGTATCTGAGGAACTGATGGCAAACCATGGAAAAGAGTGACATAGTAATATTATGTAGCTGGCCACCAGTTAGCAATTCAAATGAACAGCAATATCCATCAGAGATTGACTGCTTTAAGATCATTACCTGTTCCATGTTCTGTGATAAGGGCGTGCACTTCGAGGTAACTCTTGTATCCTTCCCGATATAACTCAAAAGTGTTTGTGTTAATAAGATGGGAGATGCAGCCAGCTTTCCCTAACTGAAAAGTTAATAACAATAATAGAAAACAAAAGAAAGGTTACATTTTAAAAGGACTATAAGAAATAGAAGTTTTAGGGGAAAGGTATAACTTCTGGAAAACATTAAGAGTGCCATCTTCCCAAATAAGAATGTTGTGATTCTATAATTTAAATCTTCAGTTTATGTGTTTACCTATAAGGAGCTCTGGTGGTGTAGTGGTTAAGGCCGTTTGCTTGCTAACCAAAAGGTTGGTGGTTCAAACCCATCGGCCACGCCACATAAGAAAGGTGAGACAGTCTACTTCTGTATTTACAACCTTGGAAACCTTATGCTCTGGTTACCTAGTGCTGCTCTGACAAGAATATACCACAAATGGAATGGCTTTAACAAACAGGAGTTTATTCTCTTATAATTTGGAGGCTTTAAGTCCAAGTTCAAAGTGCTAGGCTCTAGGAGCTGGATAAAAGCCCCTCAGTCTTGGGCTTCAGATCTGCCTCCACTCCTGGCCCTCTGAAGCTAGAGGCTTTCCTTCACACAGACAGCTGCTGGCTGCTGAGGCTGCCAAGCCCAAGGTTGACAAGTAAAAAGGCACAGCCCGGATATCACCAAACCACATGGCAGGCCATTAATTCAAGTCTATTGTAAGTCCCAAGGTTGGCAGAACATAGCAGGCTGCTGAGCAGCAACATGACTATATGCAGGGTCCAAGCATGGCATAAGCTAGAGACCATTCCCATGGCTTCTCCTTATATACAAGAAGCAGACCACATCCCAAAGGCAGCTCCTCAGCTGCTTGTGGTAGATCCCACTATGGAGTTGATTACCAGTCTCATCATGGAGAATAAGTACTACCAGCTGCCCAGCCACTCATCCAGGCTCAGCCAAGTTAACACACAAACATAACACAAACATAACTACCACACCCAATGAGGGTCACTATGAGTCAGAATGAATTTGATGGCAGTGACTTTGGTTTTGGTTTCAGATATTTACCTAGAACTCTACAGAAATTTTAGCAAGCATTAATTGTTACAATGCTGACCTCAGAAAAAAACCTCTTTATGGTGCTGTTATTTTGTTAATCCACAAAATAATTATCAGATCTATCTCTGTTGTTGTTGTTGTTATGTGCCCTCGAGTCAGACCTGACTCATAGCGACCCCTCCTTGGATTTCTGAGGCAGTATCACTACGGAAGTAGATTGCCCAACCTTCCTTCCAACGAGTGGCTGGTGGGTTTGAACCGCCAGCCTTCTGATTAGCAGTCAAGTAACTTAGGCACTACACTACCAGAGCTATCTCTAGTCATATTTATTCACAATAATATTTGCAATTTTGCTCATTTCAATCATATTCCTGTTCAGTTTTGATACAGAGTTTTATATCCTTCTTACCATGTTTTGGGAATGCATATTTGTAGTTACCATGCTTTGGATATTTGTAGGACTACAATTTACATATGGTTAAAGGCACAGACTTCAGAGTCTAACACTAGGATTTGAATTTTGGTTTTGCTACTTACAACTTCGTATAAAATGGACGTATCAATAAAGAGTTCATAGAGTTGTTAGTATTAGGTAACACAATGACTAAGAAGTGTTTAGCTTAGTGTCTGGTACTTACTAAAAGTTTAATAAGTAGTAGCTATTCTTATTTCCTTTTGAATGTCTCTTAACAGCTGTTTGGTCAAGTTAAAATTCCTTAGTAAGAAAATTTTTTAAAACTTCATAATTAATAAAAAATTTAAACAGAGAGAATTGATAAATATGGCAAAGGAATCTAGTATAGTCATGAAATGTATTCATGGATTCATAGACTACTATATTGGGGAAAATTGAGTTTTGTTCAACTCCTTCATTTTGTGATGAGATGAGGACACTGAGATTAATTGATGTTAGGTGACAGGAAGATCATATGGCTTCTTCAGAACATATCTGAAACTATACCAAGGCCTAGCACCACAGCCACAAGCTTAAAGGAACAGAATTATTTTCACTAGGTTTGAAGAAGAATAATTGGATAAACTATTTAGTCTATACTCCTGCTATACCTGCCAATGTATATTCCAAATTTATAACTCTCTTAAATCTCCTGGAAATACCTATATATTTTTAAATCAATTTCTTTGATAATCCGGTCATTACCTTGTGTATTTGGCTTATGTTGGTTCCTTTTTCCCCTAGAAAAATTAAAGATAATGACTGTTTCATAAAATGCAGCTCTATGAAGACAGGGACCAAGTCGATCTCATTTGTATTCAACATTATAGCTCCTAAAAGCAATAATGCTTGCATGTTGAAGGATCTCAATGTTTGTTGGATAAATAAATGGAGAAAAAAATTGTACCCTTTAATATACCTAATGATAGAATCCCACTAGTTATTTAATATATGATCTTGAGCAGTGTACTAAACCTCTTCCTGTGTCCATCCACTCATCTGCTAATCAATAAAGTGGTGATAATAATAGTATGTTTACTATTATGAGGAAGAGATGAGAGGAGAGCTTTTTGTTGTTGGGATTGTAATTGGAGCTGTGAAACCAAATGTGCATGAACTGTTGAGAGTAAAATGAATCTGCTTTGTAAATTTGTACCCAAATCACAATACAAATTTAAAAAAAATATAAAAACATGTATTACAAATAATAATAATAATAAATAGTAGTTTTTAGAATTAAATGTATATAAACTACTTGATCCAGTTCCTGACACCTAATAAGCATCTATTACTGTAACCTAATAAGCATCTGACACCTAATAAGCATCTATTAATTCTATTAATACGCTATTGTTATCCTGGAGTCCCTGAGTGATGCAAATGGTTAACATGTGTTGTTGCTACCTGAAAAATCACCAGTTCAATGCACCAAGAGGCACATCAGAAGAAAGGCCTGGCATTCCATTTTCAAGAATTAGCCATTGGAATCCAGAACAGGAATTAAATCGGAACTTCAGAACAGGAAGAGACAAATAAAACCACAGAAAAAATTGTCAAAGATTTGTTGGAAGAGAATTTTTCTGGTGTCATGAAAGATGGGAATATGTCCATTCAGGAAGTCCAATGAACTCCAAACAGGATAGACCCCAAAAGAAAATCACCCAGACATATCACCATCAAACTTACCAAAAACAAAGACAAAGAAAGAATCATCAGAGCAACACAGGAAAAGCAAAAAGTTACCTACAAGGGGCAACCAATAAGATTAAGGTTGGATTTCTAGACAGAAACCATGCAGGTGAGAAGACAATGGGATAGTATATATAAAACACTGAAAGAGAAAAATCTCCAACCAAGAATTATGTACCCAGCAAAACTGTCTCTCAAATATGATGGTGAAATTAGGACATTTCCAGATAAGCAGAAATTAAGGGAATTTGTTAAAACCAGACCAACCTTACAAGAGATGCTAAAGGGAGCCCTTGGACAGAGAAGCAACAACAGCCAACAACAACTGACCATTAACACACATGATGATATAACCCAGAAAACAACCCAGCTATGGAAATATCCAAAGTAAATAAGCCTACAAGATTGTAAACGGAACCAGAGACATCAACTGACAAATGAGAACAACTACAAACCAAAAAGAGGGGAAAAACTGTGTCATTACAGAACTTCTAAATGGTAGGGAAGTCAAGACAACTACAAGACAGAACAGACTGTTCTACACTTGGGAAGAAAACTAAAAATCACAGGGTAACCTCAAAGAAAAATTATAAACCTTCACATCAAAAAAGAGGACCAGCATAAATATTCAGCAAATACTAAAACAGTAGCAATGAAGGAAGTGATAACACGATTCATAAACAAAACAAGCTCAGCATAGAAAATTATATGGAACAAAGAAATTGACACCATGAGAAAGCACATAACAAAAATGACAGCAACAAATTCATATTTGCCGATAATTACATATCTGGCAAGGGACTCATCTCTAAGAGTTATAGCAGAAGAGTGGATGACCAAACTATGTACATACACATAATGGAATGGTATGCAGCACTAAAGAATAATGTAGAGTCTTCAAAACACCACATAATATGGATGAACTTGGAGGACATTATGTTGAGTGAAATAAGTCAATCACAGAAGGACAAATAATAGTATTAGTTCATTGTTGTGGAGGGTCAAGGAAAGGTTTATATATGGAGGGAAACTTTCTTTGTTGGTTGCTGAGGGTGGGAGGAGAGGGGAGGGAACACTGAAAATAAAAATGCATTGACCCATGTCACTTTAGTTTTGTGTATTTCACTGTACATAAATTATATTTCAATAAAGTGCATTAAAAAGCCATTGAAAACCCTAGGAGCATAGTTCTCCTCTGATACACATGGGATCATCAGGAGTAAAAATTGTTTTAATGATCTACTTCTGTAAAGATTTAATGCTTGGGAAACCCAATAGGGCTCACTGTGAGTTGGAATTGACTTGATAAGAAGAATTCTTGCAGTGCAATGGTTAAAGCATTTGGCTGCTAACAAAAAGGTCAGGTGGTTCGAACCTATCCACTGCTCCTTGGGAGAAAGATGAAAACAGTCTGCTTCTGTAAAGATATACAGCCTTGGAAACCCTGTGGGGCAGTTCTACTCTGCCCTATAGGAATACTATGAGTCAGAATTGACTCTATAACAGTGAGTATGCTGATCAATGCTACCACATTGTTGTAATGGTGGGAGGGGGGTTGGCAGTTATATACTAGCTGGTCAGATTCTGAAATGGTTGTGTATCCTTGCTATATTCTAGACCACCCTTCTGTGTGTTCATTTTCTGATGCTGATTCTCAAGTCTTCCCAGTAAGTCATTTTAAGAAATTCCTCTGTTCTGTGAGTTTAAGAGGGAGCTCTGATAGCGTAGTGCCTAAGACATTTGACTGCTAACCAGAAAGCTGGCTGTTCAAACCCACCAGCCACTCCTCAGAAGGAAGATTGGGCAATCTACTTCTGTAGTGATACTGCCTCGGAAACCAAGGAGGGATTGCTATGATCTCACTCCACTGCGGTGAGTTTGGTTGGAGTTTTGGTGAGTTTAAAATAGTTGATTTGTCTTGATTGTAGTTCAGAACCCTAACTGATACTTGTCCTTCTTGGAATGCATATTGACATTTATATCCAGTGTGAAAAAGACAAAAATAACTTACTCCCTCATTTAATAATTTTGAATTAAATGAACATCTTTATATCTCTCCAACCTAAATTCACAAAGTACAAGGTAAAGTGGGGGACGACCATATATTTCTAGTACTTTGGTAAAATGGAGGCTTCAGTCTGGAACCAAATTCACTTTTAGTTAAGAATTGAATTTACAGTTGAGCTTTAGAGTACTGTAATTTACTTTTTGTAGGTTAATGGAAAATAAAACATTAGCATGACAAAAGAAAATTAGCAAATTTATGCACAGGAATAAGAAAGTAAAGTATAATTTTACAATGTAAATAAGGAGAAAGAAAAGTGGATAGAAGGTGAGAACAATTGATTAATGCAAATTTACTTAGGAATTTGCAGATCAACATCTTACCTGAGTGGTAAAGTTTTTGCAGAGTGGATTGAGAGGAAATTTGCAAGTACTAGAAACATAAGGAGGTGCTCTGCACACATTAAGTTGAACTTTCCCCTCCACAGGTTTGCCATAGGTATATCTAACAGAAGAAAATGACAATAGTAAAATTATAAAGGTCAACATCATTAGTAATTTGCCTAGACAGTTTTGAACAGTTTCTTTAGTGGCTGAAGCCACCATTACCACTATATTTAAATAACCTTAAATTTAACTTCCTGAGGAAATCTAAAACAATGGAACTGAATAAAATGGAGGTGAATGCTTTAAGTAAAGATATATTTTTAATTAAAATTATTGAAATAAACAGCATGTAGAAGTCACATATATGTGCCACTAAAATACAATGTAAACAAATAAAATATTAATGAAAAAAGAAAGTGTTAGAATAATCACTGAGTAATTTCTCAAGATAATATTTATTTTACTTTCTTTTTTTATAGCTTTTCTACATTTTTAAGTATGCCATAATGAGCATATATTTATTTTTATGTTTCCTAATTTAAAATGCAAATTCTATTTATTTTTAATTACACAGAAGTACATGAATATATTTTCATTGTTAAAATAGTCAAACACTAGATAAAAAATAAATCTCCTTTGACCTACAGGCTAAATCTGTTTCCTCTGCAGAGGAATCAACTATTATTCCTTATAGAGTTGTGTTCCTTGCATTTAAAGATACGTTTACATATATCTTTAAATATATATAAAATACACAAATATTATGAATCTTTAATTTTGTGTGTTTAGATAAATGCTATCACACCAAAGTGATGATGGGAACTGTACCATATTTTTATGCAAATAACACATATGCCCTAGGTTTTTGTCCAAAAATGTAGACCAATCATGTTATTTGCATAAAATATGGTATACTAGCAAGTTAGACTCTAAAATGAGTGTGACTAGAGTCCTCTTGCTCTAGTAGCCCAGCCCTTTTGAGTTCATTTTCTGATGCTGCTTCTTAAGCTCTCCCAGTGAGTTCTTTCAGTAAATTCCTCTCTTCTCTAAGTTTGGTAAAGCTGAATCTCTTTCTAAAAGTTAAGAATCCTGACAGGTACATGTCGCTTCTGTAACTCCTATCTATATGCTTGCAAGTTGGTTTCATACTGATTTTTTTTTTTTTTTTTTTTGTGAGCCTGTCTATGAAATTCTTCAATTTCATCTTCCAAATCACCAATTCTCTCTTCAGCACAATCCCTTCTTCTAGACAGCCGATCTATACAAAAATTTTAATAACCAATATGCTAAATTTCTTTGATTGATTACTTTTGAGTCTGTAAGTTTTACTTATTTCTATTGTCTTATTCTGGTCAATTTTTTAATACCTTGATTTCAAGTCATTGGAGTCTTCAGCAGTTTGGTGATTCATGCTTATGTGTCTGGGATTCTCAAATGGCCTGTCCTAGAGTGCCTTATCTGCTTACTGCAATATTTCTTTGCTGACTATGCCACAGTAGTCAGCACACAGCCAGGTATGATGTAGTAGTATCTGGGCTTTGGGCTTTCCATCCCTCAAGGGTATTTTCAGATACCCCACCAATTCTATGCTTCTACAACAACAACAATGCAAGAACAATGGAACTTTCCTGTCCTTTACTTCTTTTGACTCTTACCACTGCACCCCTGGAGATGAAGCTGAAGTAGTTAGCTTTCTTTACCATTACAGACACAGCTAGGGGAAAGGCAGAGCTTTAATCTTGAGATTCAGTATGGAATTTTAGTTAATGTAATAGGTTTCTCCTTGTAACTAGAAATTGCCAGAGTACTTTTTATTATGATTTTTATTTTTGATCATCCAAAAGTAAAAGGAAAGCAATGCAATATCCATTCCCTGAGGTCAGGGAAAGAATTAGTCTTCACATCAGGTCTGAGGAGACAATGCTTTATGTTTGTACTCTAGAGCTGCCATTGCTACTTCCTTAGCCTCCTTTAATGCAGCTTAACTGAGTCAGGGAAGAACTCTGGCAGTAAAGTGGTCAAAGCATTCAGCTGCTAACCAGAAGCTCAGTGGTTGGAACCCACCAGGTGCTCCCTGGGAGCAAAAAGAGGCAGTTTGCTTCCATAAAGATTTATAGCCTTGGAAACCCTGTGGGCAGTTCTACTCTTCCCTAAAGGGTCACTGTGAGTTGGAATTAACTCAATGGCAGTAGGTTTGGTTTTGGTTTAATTGAGTGAGGAGGGAAGGGAGAAGACAGGTTGAACTAGCTGGCTGCTACTCTTTTCATACACCAACTGAGCACCCCTTATGTGCCCCAAAGTCTCTGCCTGTCCTTGATAGCCTCCACCCAGTACCCCAGAATTATAGTGGAGTCACTTCCAACTCTTACAGTAGTTTTCTCTAGGATACATTCTGAGCTATGATTTTCTTTAATCATGTAATATACGAAGATTGAATCAAGAAGTCAGAGTAAGCACATGATACTGTACAGTAGAACTTTCTGGAGTGATGGACTGTTATATGTATGTTTATGCTCTCCAATTCAGTAGCCTTTAACCACATGTAGCCAGTGAGCACTTGACATGTGGCTAGCGCAAGTGAATTTTAAACTATATTTAACTTCATTTAATTGAAATTTAAATAGCCTCATGTGGTTAGTAACTACTGTATTAAGTGGTGCAAAACAGTGCAGAACAGCGGATAAGAGCTGGGCTGCTAACTGAAAGGTCTGTGGTTTGATCCCACCAGTCACTCTTCAGGAGACAGGTGTAGCTAGCAGTCTGCTTCTGTAAAGATCACAGGCTTGGAAACTCTATGAGGCATTCTACTTTGTCCTATAGGGTCATTATGAGTCAGAATCCATTCAACAGCAATAGTTTTTTTTTTTTAAAACTTATGATGTAAATCACAAATCAGTAGTCAGTGGTCTTAAACTGTCCATAGTTTTAAAACTATAGCAGTCAGAAGTCTTAAACTGTCACCTAAAATCATATTTTAAACAGCTTAACAAAAAACAGCTTCCACTTACGAGGCACAGATATTAACTTTGAATTCAGGTTCCACAACTAAGACACTTTCTGGTACATCCACAGTCATTTGAAATTTGGGTAACACTGTCAGTATATGGGAAAAAAAATCTTATTAGCATAAAAGCATTCATATAAAGCAATTGTTTTCCCTTTAACAACCCACATGCCTTTGCTTACATTTGCTGTTAATAAATAGTGGTACACTGCAGTACACAAGAGCTAGATCTTGGAATTGGATAGAAGAATTCAGATTTGAATTCTAAATTCATAACTTCCCAGATGTTGACCTTGAGAAAGTTTTTCTGTTAATAACTTCTGTAGAATGAGAAAAATGATGCCATAATTTTATAAGCATTTTATGAGTAATATAAATGGAGCACCTCCTCACATCAATAATGTGACTTCCATTCCTTTCACAAAAAATGTTTTGAAGCATAAATGTGGCATAGATAGACACCTCAGAAACTATCATATAAACTATTCCAGATGTCACAAAAGAAAGGTAAGCATAGAGATTCCAGGTAAACAAAAAGTTGCATGGGGATTATGGGTTGAACCATAAACAAAAACAAAAAACCCACTGCCGTGGAGTCAATTCTGACTCATAGCGACCCCCACTGGCTTTAGTAAATCTTTACTGAAGGAGATTGCCCCATCTTCCTTCTGTGGAATGGCTGGTGGGTTTGAGCCTTCTGGTGAGCAGTCAATTGCCTTAGGCACTGCACCACCAGAGCTTCTTATGGGTTGAATTAGGGGACAGCAATCAGAGTGGGTGGAGAATCCTGAAATAATAACAGAGATAAGGAAAGAGGCAAGGAGATAAACATTTAATAATATGTTATTTAGTAATCGTGCCCTTACCAAACTGGGGAGATTGATCAGTTTACTTATTAGCAGCAGACAATATCTTCATAGCTATTATTTACCATATTCTTCCACAGAGAAGGACTGATGCACTGTCTCTCCAGAGAGCATTTCCACGGAGATAGAATACCAGCCCAGGATAGGCTCCAAGATTAATGGGAAGGAGAGTTGCACAAGACCTCTGAAAGACTCCTCGTTGTCCCACTGTTGTATTCGATTGCCATGTGGATCCTGAGAATGAAAAAAGTGTATTTTGCTGGATTTTTCATCTATCTGAAAAGTTCAGCAAGGAGCTTCCCAGTTATTGTGATTCTACTCTAGTGATTCAAAGCATGGGTGTGTCTTCTAATTCCCCAGGCAAAACAGATTTTTCTTCCATCTGGGTCCACATATTGTAGCACTTAGTGTATTTTAGGGCAGTTATTATTTACAAGAATATTTTCTGTGCTAATTTCTTATTTCTTAAGGGTGAGCCATATTGCACCCATGTGCATAAAAAAGTAACTGGGTTTAAATACATTCAATAAAAAAATATTAAATTGAATTAAATCGTACTTGTCTAGTTATCAGTGTTATTAATAGGTGGATGTTAATAAAAACAACAGTGATTTCTATCCTCCTGAGGTTGGCCACATGAAATAAATAATACTGTGACAATTTAAATAGACACTCTTCCTCTATAAACTGTATTCTGATTTTCAAGTTAAGGACATACCAAAAAAAAAAAAAAAATCAGATAAAATAATACTTCAATGAGCAGTTCTCTTACCTGAAGGAAGATCACTGGATACTGAAAGAAAAGTAAAGGTCATGTTAATCTATGAACTCAAAGTTTTTCCCCTGAATGAAAAGGTTAATTACAAATTTTTTATTGAAGAAAGAAACATAAGGAGATAGTTTAGGAACTCAAACAAATACTGATTCTTACTGAAAGTGTAAATATGTTGCTTCCATTGAAATTTTTGCCTAAGGCACTTGACTGCTAACCAGAAGGCTGACGGTTCAAACCCACCAGTCACTCCTGGGAAGGAAGGTTGGGCAATCTACTTCCATAGTGATACCGCCTCGGAAACCCAAGGAGGGGTCTCTATGAGTTGGGTCCGACTCCATGGCACATAACAACGAAACAACAGTTTTCAAGAATTTCATTTACTTCTCACTCTTACTCAACACACATCTTGCAGCTGCAGTAAGCACGTCTCAGTTCAGTCTCTGAAACATTCCTTGTTCATTTCTGTGATAGTTAAAATTGTGTGTCAACTTGGCTGGATCATAATTCTAAGTGGTTTAAGTAGCTGTGTTGTAGTCATCCCCCATGATGAGATCTGATGTAATGTAATCACTTCCATAATGAGATATGCGATGAAGAGGCATTCAGCTGAAAGGGAGTTTCTTTAGGGTTATGAACTGCTCTAATATATATGCAGACATCCTGGGAAATCTCTTGGGCTTTCTGTTTAATCTGGATCCTGCATCTAGTTTATCATCATCCAGTTTTTGTAGCTAAACCTGAGGTCTGCCATATTGCCTGCCAATCTTGGGATTTTTGCCTTTGCAGCCTGTGAGCTAAGAATCTGCCATTTTACCTGCAGATCTTGGATTTGTTATCTGTTGAAGTCAGCAGCCTCCTATACTGCTTGCTGTTCTTGAGGTTCATCAGCCCCTATAGCTGCATGAGTTAGGAAACGCCTATAGCTTGATATTTGACACAGGAACTTGGGGCTTGCCAGCCTCTGCAACTGTGTGAGCATTTCCCTGAGGTAAGTTTCTCTCTCTCTCTCTCTTTCTCTTTCTCTCTCTATATAAAACTCACTGCCATCGAGTCTGTTCCAACTCATAGAGTTGAGGTGATATCTCTACAGAAGTAGATTGCCCAGTCTTCCTTCCAAGCAATGGCTGGTGGGTTGCTAACCTTCTGATGAGCAGTCAGATGCCTTAGGCACTACCTCACCAGAGCCGCTATATATATATATATATAAGCTCTGGCAGCGCAGTGCCTAAGGCACTTGACTGCTCACCAGAAGGTTGGCGGTTCAAAGCCACTCCTTGGAAGGAAGATGGGGCAATCTACTTCCGTAGTTATACTGCCTCGGAAACCCAAGGAGAGGTCACTAAGAGTCGGGTCCAACTCGATGGCACATAACAACAACAAAAATATATATATATATATATATATATGCTTCACTGGTTTTGCTTCTCTAAAGAACCTAGCCTAAGACAATTCCCATTTCTGGGATTTTGCCAAGTTGTTTCTCACCCCTAGAATGCCTTCCTTTTTACCCTCCAGTTACTTCAGCTACCCTTCTTCAAGGTTTTTATTTTGTTTATGCAGTCAGATTTACTGTGAATCCCAAGCAGTCACAAAAGGCCAGCCATACAATGAATCATTTTTTAGATGTTATGCTGAAATAGCTGCAGATCTTAGATATGTTGCCCTTGAAATATGTAACTATGTAATCTCCTAGCTGCCATCATTTTTCAAAATACTATCTCAATTTTGATCTTTGTGCATAAGCAGATGCAGTTTTCTATGCCATAGAAACTCCTCCCCAGAAACATTTTGTACCAATGATCATCTTTTCTATGACCCATATTTGAAGGAATGCTTCATTAATCCTGTTGTACATATGCAAACGCAGTCATTACTAAAGCTGGGAATTGGCTCTATTGACAATAAAAATAATCAGCAATGGGGAAAAAACTAACAAGGGAATGGTGTTGACATTGCAGCCCCTTTGAGTTTCATGAAACCCGCAACTTCCCATGCTCCTATCAACCAAGGATGACTGCCAAAAGGTTACATTAGAAATACTTGCTACTTTGATTAAATAGAGGAGTTGCAGTCTTATAAACAAGAGAAGTTCCAAACTTGAACCAAGAGCAAGAAGCATGTTGTATCTTAAATAAGCTATTTCAGACATAAGTAAACAAAAGGATCTTTTGGAGGTAAAGTTATATCTGTCTTAGAAATTAAAATTAAGCCACAATCCAACAAATGTAGTATAGGTAAAAAGATGGCAAAAGAGATACATTAGAAATGATGATGCTTGAATATGTAAGGATGAGGAATGACTTGAAAGATGGAAAAAATAGTCATATATAGAGAAATCAACGTAACTTCTATAAGCTTAACAAGCTACCATAACTCTGTGCTCATCTGACAAATTGATATAGGAGACTATATAGAATGGTTAGTTATAAAATGTTTGATTCTAAAATCCATGAAATGAGCATTCCAGATACCCTATCTCAGAAGGTTCAGTTATTCCTCAGTCATGATTCATTGACTTTGGTCCATTTTCATGATGATCTCCCTTGTTCTTAGATACCTTATAGATGGATTGTACCTTCCTGTTGATGATAGTCTAAGACTATCATCAACATATTCTTCTTATATCCAAAGTCCCTGAACAATATCCATGAAACAGCTTCTCTGTGTTTCTTCAAGGCAAGATCCCTTTTTCTACTGGGTAACAACATTCCCCACTCTTAATAGCCTAGTATAAATAATGAACAGTTTCTGAAGAAATTAGAAGAGACCCTGAAACACATCCTCTATCATTTTATTCCTTTTCTCTAAACACAAACTGCTCATTCATAACTAACTGTAATTTAAATGCCTTCACAACATGGCAGCAACCTTCCTTTCTAGTTTTATTGTCCATACCTCCCTAAGCTTATTGTACCGTTTGCTAAGCGTAGTGCTTATGGCACTTGACTGCTCACCAGAAGGCTGGTGGTTCAAACCCACCAGCTACTACTCCTTGGAAGGAAGGTTGGGCAATCTACTTCCATAGCGATACTGCCTTGGAAACCCAAGGAGGGGTTGCTATGAGTCGGGTCCCACTCGATGGCACATAAGAACAACAACAACAAGCCTTGGTTATTGCTATTCCCAACGTTTCTCTTAATTCCTCACTATCACACCATCACTAACATTTCCCTTCTGCTTATACAGTAAAACCTATGAAAGTCTGAACCAAAAAAGAGAGAAAGAGGAAGAAGGGGAAAATGAAAGACATCACTTTAGTGAGGAGCACAGTGGGTCACAAGGCCGTTAGGAATGCCAGTAACTTGAACGGGTCTGTCTTATTTTCATGGATTAATTTTAAGACATAAGAAATGCATAAATAACTAGATATACCTACATATTTTCAGTTACAACTTACCTTTTGCTCAACAGGCTTCAAGTGATCATTCAGAGACACTATTCGCAATCTCACTGGAGAAGAAAATAAAGATGATGTAAATTAAATGTTTATCTTTTGTGTCATCACAATGTTCATACTAAATTGATTAACTGAGTTGGATCAGAAAGGGTTAGAATATTGCTATCTGTTGTGAGTAGTTACATAAATATATTTTAATAGACTTTACCTTTTAGAGAAGGTTTTGGTCTCCAGAACAATTGTGTAGGAAATACAGAGTTCCCCTATACTTCCCTCCCCTCTAGGTACTGCTGCTCCTATTATTAATATCTTGTATTCCTGTGGTCATTTGTTATAACTGATGAACCAGTACTAATACATTATTATTGACTAAATTTCATAGTTCCCATTAGGGTTCATTCTTTGTGTTTTGTAGTCATGTGGGTTTTGACAAATGCATACTGTGATGTATTCACCATTTTACTATCAAACAGAATAGTTTCACCGCCCTAAAAATGTCCTGTGCTCCCTCTATTCATCCCTCTTCTCCTCCCTTTGAACCGCTGGCAGCCACTGATCTTTTCACTGTCTGTTTAGTTTTGCTATTTATAGAATATCATAAAGTTAAAATCATATAATAGGTAGCTCTTTTAGACTGACTTCTTTCACTCAGTAATATGCATTTAAGGTTCCTCCAAGCCTTTTTGTAGCTTGATAGTCTTTTCTTTTGATCACTCTGTCATAGTTAAGCTTATTTGTTAACTTGGCTGGGCCTGGTTGAGTGGCTGGGCAGCTGGATGTATTTATTCCCCATGGTGAGGCTGGCAATCAATTCTGTGGTGGACTCTACTGGAGCAGCTGAGTAGCTGCTTTAGAAATGTGGTCTGCTTCCAGTAGCTAAGAAGCAACTTTGAGGAAGGTCTCTAGCTTTTTGGTATGCTTGAACCTTGCATGTAGCCAAGTCATTGTTCAGGAGCCTGTCATGCCCTGCTGATGCTGGGATGTTTTCTGGACTTGAATTAGTGGTCTGCCATGTTGTTTGGTACTATCTGGACTGTGCCTTTTTACTTGTTGACCTTGGATTTGTTAGCCTCAGCAGCCAGCAGCTGTCTGAGCGAAAGAAAGTCTCCAGCTTCAGTGGGCCAGGAGTTGGAGGCAGAGCTCAGGGGCTTTCACCCAGTCCTAGAGCCTGGCACTTTGAACTCAGACTTCTAGCCTCCAAAACTGTAAGAGAATAAACTCCTATTTGTTAAAGCCATTCCACCTGTGGTATCTTCTGTTAGAGCTGCACTGAGTAAGCAAAACACACTGCATTATATGAATGAACCACAGTTTGCTTATCTATTTACCTATTGAAGAACATTTTAGTTGTTTCCGGTTTCGGGCAATTATGAATAAAGCTGCTATAAACATCCATGTTCAGGCTTTTATGTGGACATATATTTTCATCTCATTTGGATAAATACTTTATGATTACTATATAATATGGTAACCCTATATTTAGCTTGGGAGCTCTGGTAGCTTAGTGGCTAAGACACTTGACTGCTAACCAGAAGGCTGACAGTTCAAACCCACCAGCCACTCCTTGGAAGGAAGATGGGGCAAGCTACTTCCGTAGTGATACTGTCTTGGAAACCCAAGGAGGGGTTGCTATGAGTCAGGTCAGACTCGATGGCACATAACAACAACAACATATTTAGCTTTGTAAGAAACTGCTAGATTGTCTTTCAAAGTGGGCGTGCCAATTTTGCATTCCCACCAGTAGAGTTCCTGGTGCTCCACATTCTCAACAGATTGCCCCATCTTCCTTCCGAGGAGTGGCTGGTGGATTTGAGCCACCAGACTTCTAGTTAGTAGTCAAATGCCTTAGGCACTACACCACCAGAGCTCCCTTGTTTACATAAGTGTGTTATGTATATAACACATACTGAGGTTAGTATGGAGCTCTGGTGGCCTAGTGCCTAAGTCATTTGACTGCTAATCAGAAGGCTGGAGGTGTAATGCCACCAACCACTCCTTGGAAGGAAGTTTGGGCAACCTACTTCCGCAGTGATACTGCCTCAGAAACCCAAGGAGAGGTCGCTATGAGTCAGATCCAACTTGACAGCAGTGAGTTTGGTTTGGTTTTGGTTTGGGGTTAGTATGTTGAACTTGGTAAATTATCCTGGCAAAAAGAAAGTACAGCAAAAATCCCTTTCTTCCTCCTTCTCCTCTTATGTATGCTTCATCATAAAACATGCTTAAGATGAGTAGTTACTTAAACAAGTAAAAGATAGAAGGGCCAGGTTATGTACTTCTTAACACACTTATAGAAATTTTGTCCATACTTAATATGTACCTTTTCTGTGTCTCATCAACCAAATCCCTTTATCCCCTTAATTTGTAGTGAAAACCTCCAAGGTCATTTATTTTCTCTCAGACTTACTCTCTTTCTACCTATGTCTTATTCCAGGTGAGTTCTCAGCCTGATCCCCCTTATCAAACCCTTCACATTATGCCACCAATAAAATTTATTCTTTTTTGAAGATATTTCTGTTTGCTCCTATTTTCCCCATAGAACACTCTTGCCATCTCTTTTCTGCTCCAAGTTTACCTGTTTCCCTCTGGATCTCTCTATATAATGGATATTTCTCATCTTCCATGTGGCTCTGACAGAAGATTCCAAAAAGAAAAACACCAAATTCACCGCCATCAGGTTGATTCTGCCTCAGAGCAACCCTCATTGGTTTTCCATGGCTGTAAATCCTTATGGAAATAGACCGCCCCATCTTCTGTGGAGTAGCTGCTGGGTTTGAACCACCAACCTTTGGTTAGCAGCCAAATGCCTTAACCACTACACCAGAACTCCTTAAAAGAGGAGTAGGCAACTTCATTCTAAATTATCAGCTCCAACTAAACATTTTTATCCTTGCATTTTAATTCAAAAGAGAGAAATTATTATTTTAGAGCCATTAGTTTTAAGACATCTTTTTATTCTTGTTGATGTCATCTAATCAATTTATGGTTGTTGTCCTACTTTCACTGTAATAAAATTTTACCTGGCTAATTGTCTTCCTTTCTACCAACTAAACTTTCATGGATAATTTTGGCATATGCATGTTCCATGTAATAGAGTGCTTTAGTTTTATTTTTGAGGAAAAATGAAGATCCATGTCAAAATCTATGTCTCTTATCATACCACAGCTATTAGATTTTGGAAAAAAAAATCACTCAGTGATAATGCAACTCTTGTTTGTCATCTGTCTACATATACTTCAAAACCAAACTCACTTCCATCGAGTTGATTCTGACTCATGGCAACACCCATTGGATTTCCAAGACTCTAAATCTTTATGGAAGCAAACTGCCTCATCTTTCTTCCATGTAGCAGCTAGTGGGTTCAAACCACAGACCTTTTGGTTAGCAGCCAAATGCCTGATCCAGTACTCACTGTCATCAAGTCAGATCCAACTCATAGTGACCCCTCCTTGGGTTTCCAAGGTGGTATCTCTACAGACATAGATTGCCCGGTCTTCCTGCCGAGGAGTGGCTGGTGGATTTGAACTGTCAGCCTTCTGATACTTAGAGTCCCTTTAAATACATTTTTCAAATTTGTTTTTAGAGTTCAGTTTCTTTAACCTCATTCTTCCGGGCTATTGACTATCTCCTCGTTCAATTTATTTATACATTTATTTTAAAATCTTTATTGATAAATGTATATACAGTAAAATCTGAGAAAGAGACTGTGTAAAGCAGAAACCTGTCAGAGAAGGAAAACTCAAATATTTTCCACTAAAAGGAGTGATAACAAAGTGGTAAGACTGTACCCTGTCAAAGGCAGAAAACTTACGAGACCAGGAAAAACAATGCAGGCCCATTGAGCTCCAGCTCCCACAGATTTCACTGTATGTATATTCATATATGTGTGTGTGTGTGTGTATACATGTGTGGATATAAAATACTGACAATGAAAGAAAAACATCGTCTTGGGTTATTATATAAGTGTCATAGTCTGGCAAAGAAATAAGAGCTCATCAAATTGCATGGTTTTAAATATGATCTTTATGTTGATGACTATGTTGTGAGAAAAGAACACAGTTTGGCCTTTGCCCTTGATTCCTGAGAGATAACTTGGAATTTCCTAAATAATCAAGGTACTTTTATTATCTGAAACCTCCAGACAACACTTGAGGATTTGAGCAAATGAATGGGGGCTGGCCAGGCCACAAAGATCACCTAGTCAGCTCACCTCAGTAAAGGATGAGGGGCATGATTTAATCAATTAATCATGCATATTCAATGAGGCTTAAGCATGATTATGCAATGAGACCAAATAGAGGTCCTGAATATGGAAATTCCATCAGCTTCCTGGTTGGTGAAAACATCTGCTCTTGGCAGGATCGTATGTCTCTGGGGACACTGAAGCTTCCCACCAGGACCCCTTCCAGACCTCACCCTATGCATCTGTTCATTTGTAACCTTTTTGATTGGAATAAGTTTGTAATTGTAACTATGGTATACTCTCCATGAAGTTTTGTGAGTTGTTCCCACATATTATCAAAACCAAAGGGGCAGTGAGAGCCAACAAAAGCTGATGTCTGCATACATGGCAGTTAGCAGAACTTTGTCCTCTTAATTTGTGAGCTGTGATCCAGCTCTAGGTGGCTAGAGTTGGAGACAGAATGCCACTTGGATGATGAAGATGCAGAAATGGGAAAATGAAGACCAGTTCAATGTCCATAATTTGGGAATTAGATTCTGCTGATGCCACCACACACTTGGCAATGAAAGAGAGATTTACCCATTTTGCCCCTTAGTGCTATGACTCCCCAAATCTTGTCTTTAGCTCTTTCTTCTTACCTTGTTGTTGTTGTTGTTATGTGCTGTCAAGTCGGACCAACCTCATAGTGACCCCTCCTTGGGTTGCTGAGGCAGTATCATTACAGAAGTAGATTGCCCAACCTTCCTTCTGAGGAGTGGCTGGTGGGTTTGAATTGCCAGCCTTCTGGTTAGCAGTCAAGTGCCTTAGGCACTAGGCTACCAGAGCTCCTCCTTCTTACCTTAGAATTCATAAATCCTACTTCCTACTTGAAAC